TTCGGATTTGATTTGTCATTTGGCACAAAAAAAAAACGCCCGGACTTTTATCCGATCAGACGACGCAGCACTCGACCACTGCCAGACCGTATCTTTGGGACAGGGTCAAATCGAGCCCAGGCTTGCCAGCGCGCGTGTGTCCGTGTGTGCCGTGCCGTGTAAGACGATCGCAGACGGCGCCAAACCTTGTCGGCGCAAGCTCCCGCAAACTGGACACAACGGCGCGGCGCTTCCGGATCTGGGTCCTGTCCTTGGCTTTGCCGTGGTCGTGCGTGGCACTGCTTGGGGTCCTTGGGTCCCAGGAAAAAAATCAAGAGACAAAAACCCTTTAGACCATCACCTACCGGCAGTTCACTATTCGTGTAGTTTTACTCTTAGAAGTTAGAGGCCTTGGATGGGAAGAGAAAAAAACCCTGAACACGGGGACGCCACATCGTCGATCGGACACGCTATGCCCCCCCAACACGAGAACTACAAGTACCCAGAAACGTCTGTGGTTGTGAGAGGGTATCCGTATGATTTCATGATTCCATAGTCTACGATCTGCGATCAGGAGTTGAGAACAGACGACGATACGACACAACGAAACAAACACGCTAGCACAGAAAATTTCTTAGTCGTAGATGTAGCGCTTATTATTATGAAAATAAGGGAAAGAAGAGGCATTACATGAGCGGTGTATTTTGCAGTTGCAGATGTACCTAAAGTTCTGTCCTAGTGTATTCGGCAGGGTAAACATACTCCTTCTGCTCCTTCTGCCGAAACCTCACAGTGAGCAAAACAACCTGCCCCAAGAGAGCGTCGCATCCGGTACGCGGGCGATGCGAGGCGATCCCCGACCCGGATCCCGTCACACGTGCCACACGCGTGGTCTCGACGGTCCCACCGATCGCTAGTCGCGGGAGAGGTTACACAGGCACAAAACAAAACGTATCGGGAATCAATCCAGCCAGCAACCACCACGCAGTGACCACACACACACACTCTCACGCACACATACACTACACACAACCACACATGCAAGAAAAAAGAAAGAAAGAAAGGCAGTCTGTGACTCTCTTGCAGTCTGTGGCCTGCGGTCGGTTCAAGTCTTTACCTTTTGAAGGAACATTATCCCGACTCCCGAGCACACACACACACACAGTACACCACCAATTAACCCGCTAGCCAGCCGGGCAAAAGCCTTTTTATGCAGTAGCTAAACCACCATCCTTCTCTGTCCGGTACACTAAAGTTGCTTAACTCTCCTCCAACGCCCGCCTTGGAGCTTAATACTCTTTCGGACTTTCGGAGAGAACGCCCTTCTGCAGGATTCTAGCGCGGTGAAGGAAAAAGGGAAAGGTTGCGTGTGTGCGTATACCTACGTCTGCGCCTCTCTGTCGAGCTCATCATCCCCCTCAGTCTTTGGAAAGAAAAAAAAAACACTACGCACGCCAAGCAAGGGTTCTTAGTCAAACTGGGGGTTCACCAAAAAAGCGAGGCAAAGCTAAGGTAAGCAAAACCGACATCGGTCACATCGGCGGTAGGACCTAAGGAAAACACTCAACGAAAGTTTACGTTTTACGGTGCGTGAGAGCACGGGCGAAAAGAGGCGGCGAAAAGAGCAAAGCCAAGGGGAGAAAGCACTTGACCCATCTCGTCGATAGCGTAATAGTATCAATCTACTACATGCTGATGTAAGACTACCTTACATAGGTAGTGCCTCTCTCTCTCGTGTTGTCAAAACCCAGGGCATGCAGCTGCCTAGGTATCCAGCAAGCTATCTTATTTAGTCTGGTAGACTAGACTACACGAGGTTTCGGCACTCTTCCTCTGCCCTGGCAGTTTATTCAATCAGGGCAAAATAGGGCAAATTATCTCTCAGTCCCGTCCATCCCATTCCATCCCATCCCATCCCGCAAGAAGAGCGATATTAGGAATAGCTGGCGGCGGCGCCATGACCAGGGTGAAGGGGGTGAAGAGTGTGGTGTGATATGATGATTTGAGTGACAAGTGAGAAACGACAAACACTGACTTGTATGCTTGCTTTAGCCTTCCGGTGGGGGATAAGACAAGACCTCATGGCCGCTTTTTGGTGGCTAATGTAAGGACTGGCGGCCGTTTCCACTTGTCCCGCGAGTGTTTAGTTGCCTTTTAAACCCCCAAGAGGGACGGTATATCAGAATATTGAGCGAAATAACGGAGGAAGGGGAGAATAGATTCATGCACAGGAGCAGCACAGGCGCTTTTCGTATACGCCGGCGACCCCTTCCAGACAAGATGCTTTTTCGTCTAGCATGACATGACTAGAGCCGGAGGGAGACCTCGAAAGCAACTGAGACATTTCAGACGAGGAAGGATTTCATACTATTGATCTATAGTATGTATGTGCGGGCTATAGCAGGTCCGCGGCCCGCATGGCATATGATCTGAGCGAACAGAGTGTGAGTGTGACTCGTGAGAGTGAAGAGGGAAAAAAAAACAGCGAAAAAGGCCCGTAAGCCACATATCATGTATCATGATGCAAACTTGCATCTACCCTCTCATCCAGTCTGGCTTCGCCATACACATCATCAAGTACCTTACCAAACACAAAAAAAAATCCATTCCAGAAGAGACAGAGAGCCTAGCAGGGCCCCTTCTTCCGGGATCCCGCGGTGGCACCCTTTCGCGCAGTAGTGGCCACACTTGCTGCGCGAAATAGAAGAGTCTAGACCACACCATCGGAACTGCCACCGCCAGGGTGGTAGACCAGCTTAGCAGCAGCAGCAGTAGCGGTAGTGGTAGCGGCAGTGGCAGACAGAGAGAGACTGAGAAAGAGAGACGTTGTCTCGCTACACAGGAACGGTGTGGAGGGAGGTGCCTTCGAGGGACTTTTTTTTTGGACCCTTAAGGGTGCAAGAGTCCCCTGGCAGGCTGGTATCAAAGAAAGGCATGACGCGCTGGCAGGGCAGGAGACTAGGTCGGGTCGAGCGTGTTGCAGGGCGAAAAGGAACAGGGGTGGGCAAGAGGATGGATGGATGGAAGAAAAAAGGCGTAGAAGACCCTAGGTAGTCGTGGTAGTGTAAACTTTGAAAGAGGGTTGTCTTCTGTTTTTCCTGCAACCACACAGCCATCGCAGGAGAAATCGCGCCATGATGACGGATGAGAGCATGGCTACACACCTAGATCTGGGCGCACATCTCTTCACCGCAGTAGCGGCATCGAATCGGTGTGAGCAAAACCCCCAGCTGGGCCTCGACAGACGTAGTCAAGTAGTGTACATACACACGTTTTCCCATCCATCGGCGGCGCTATAATGGTCCGCATTGATGCATGGGAGAATTCTCTTTCTTCTGGAATCAACCAGAGACGTTTTGGGGGCCGAAGTGGCTGGCTGTATCGGCTGGCTCTATCATTATCCCCCAACCCCCGCGATTCAGAGAATGTCGGCGCACGACAAGGAGAGTGACACGGGGAGTCGGGGGACAGTGAGTGGACTGGAATCATCCTGCGGCCCTGTAGTCATTGCCCTCTCTCGAACGGTTGAACCTTGTGGTTGAGTCTTTTTAGTCTTTGGGGGGGGGGCTCTCGGTTAGACAAGCATCCATCGGGGGGAGGACCAGCTCATGACGAAAACGTTCCATGCGCTTGGTTAAACCACTCATCTCTGCTTGGTGAACCAGATAGACTCTGCGCGGTTCTTGGTACGCCAAACAAAACCCCTTGACGAACTGCGACGTGACTAAGCAGTATGAGATTTTGGTTGTTTGCCCACACATGCGTCCCGTACCGTGGTATCTAGCCGGGTAGACAGGTAGGTAGGTACTAGGTAATGGGAAAAAGAGAGGGTCAAGTTGCATCGAAAACCCTGTTCAAGAAATCTACCTGGTCAGTGGCTACATCGGGAGGACCCCTTCTTCGTAGTGGAATGAATCTCAACGGACCACCTCCGTCGTTCCAGTCTCCAGACGAGCAGATGAGGGACTGAGTGACTGAGGGTTGAGGTTCGAGGGTACATGTAAGGAGAGGGAGGGGTGTGTACTTGGTACGTTGGAGCTGGTACTCCGTAGGGAAGCAATCGGAAACGAGCAAGACAGGAAAATTATGGAAATGCTGGTGATGTACCCGAGGCCCGCCCAGCGTGGCTGTCACTTGAAATGACCGACGAATCCACGTTCCCACATCGTCTGGTCTAAACTCGAGTTGGACGACAGCGCATCAAATCTCACCGAGGCACCGCGGCGGCGGGCTTTTTTGACGGCATCCAAGCAATTTGCCAATGCCGCAGGCTGCGTTTTCTCTCTTAATGCAGCTATACTCGGCGTTGGCTGCTGCTGCTCGATACCTAGATACCAATCTTCAAAACGGCCCGCCAGATTACTCGGCGGATTGAGAACTGCATCGCACGCATCGCGTGGCGGTTGCACGAACGAATATGCAGGAAAAGGCCAAAAAAGAAACCATCAAGCCAACCGCCGCAGAGTCTAGGCTCACTCGTCGAAAGAAGCTCAAGGTCCTAGAAGGCTAGAACGTTAGCAATCGTATCACCTTCCGTTTCAAGGACTTACGTAAAGCTCTTAAACGGTATGTCGAGGCCGATGTATCTGTACGCACATGGACATACATGATACACCATCGTCAATAAAAAATGAAAAAAATAAAAATAAAAAAGGTGCCCACATTCAATGTGGAACGATGCCGATGCTGAGGAGGACGCCCATCAGACAGCATCGTCGCGTGTCGTTACTCGTTACCATGCGTCCTTCATCTCGAGCGGTCAAAGAACACGCCCCCTGGTATCAGGACTAGAGGAACCACCCACGGCAGTCTCGAGAATCCGAGGAAGTTTCTGCCCGGTGGTCGGGCGTCTCTCGTCCGGGCTATTCTCGTTGCCCGTTTTGTCAAACCCGACAGCTGCTGTGAGTGAAGATCCAGTCCCTCACCTCATGCAACGGCAGGCTATGACCTACCTACGTCAACTCAAGTCCACTTTCCCTCTAGGTCCTTGTCTCCCGATGGCAAAAAGACTATTACCGTCGCCGTCGTTGAATCCCGCTCGCAGGGACAGAGTGTAACCTTGTGGCACGCCGCACGGCAGCATACCGCTCCGTCTGGGGGCACCGAGTGATTGGGTGCCGACCGGCTAATCCCCTTGCCCCGGCGAATCAGAGCGTCATGTCGTTACCTCTAATGAATGTGGGACAGGATCCGTACTGATACAGCAAGACAGTTCCCAGCCATGATCGTGCGGCAGGCAGTGACAGAAGCGTGTGGATGCAGCAGCCAACATGTGTCTCCGTACTACAGACGGGTTACCAACTGTCTCTGCATGCAATGGCGATGGGGGCACCTGGCTAAGCCTCGGTGACCAGAATGTCAAAGAGAAACCTGTGATGAAATTGGCACAAATCCACAATCCTCTCCTGAGGTCCATGGTCCATGGGTGTCTTTTGGGTCGGAACAAGGCAGAACATCTGCCCCCGGTTCGCAGTCTGACTCGCAAAACGGTATCACTCTGTGTCTCGGTCTTTTCGTGGGAGAACATGAAATAAAAAAGAAACGAGGCTTTTCGCAACTGTGGATATCACGCCAAAAACCCTCTAGTTGTATCATTTTCCTCGAGCCCAGACACGTGCTCGATCGCAGGTGAGCATCTCAACAACCCGTTTCATCTCGATAGCGCAGACGAGGTAGGCGACACATCATTCCAGGCTGGCCTGATGGCGCTCCGGAGACGGCCCGCATCTGACCGTCTGACGTGGGCGCGGCGGAGTGAGCGAGGGAACCGCGTCTACCGTTCAACCGCCGGCCGGCGTCCCATGACAAACCAAGGACAGCCAGCAGAGGAAGAAGCCAACGCTGTCGAGCCACAATTAAGGCGGGCCATAATACGTTGGAACATAATTCACTCAGGCGAGAAACACCAGGGAAGCCGGAAGCGCACAAAAAAAGCACCCATCAAATTCTGGGCAGATGCAAGGTCCCCTTTTTCGCGTTCGCTCCCTCGTTGCGTTGCAGATCCTTCTCAACTCCTCTCCCCTCTTTTGCCGGGTAAAACCTGCAGAAGACAGAAAAAAAAAGCCAGCGGGCGGGGATCTCGATGGTCCTCCTCAAGTGTTCATGTAAGTGCCAGCCACGGCGCCTCATAAACACCTGATATCCACGCCGTAAAGGTACCGAGCAGAATCGAGAGGGTATGCAGGTGTCATTCAGCTAGGCGAGGAAAGACTGAGACTGTGCTCCGAGTCCTGCTGCTGTTGAAGAAGAGAGGCCGCCAAACTATCGCTTGGACAGCACTGGAGACATGGGCAATATTCGGTTTTCTCCAAAGCCCCCACCGAATTTCCATAGTGTCAAAACTCTTCGATCTCTTGGTTGCCCACGTCAATGATCAACTCAATCTGTCCCTTTCCTGGCAACTGCGACATAGAGTCGGCGGAGTCTCCATGTCTCTTGGAACCCACTGTCGTCCGTCCGGATCCGAGATACCAACGCCAACCTAGTCGTCCCAAATCTTGGCCAGGATGCAGCGGCCGCTAAAGTAGGAAGTCTCTGGTCCCGTTTAGCATGGCTGCACGCAGTACATAGCCCCGGGTCCCGGGGTCGTTGACGAATGGGTCCTTCCTTGCCCCTTCAGCCTTTCTACCCCTTCTCCTAGGTAGAGACGCTGCTCCTCCTCCGCTGCAAGTCAGACAGGCGAGCGGACGACCCAACAGCCCCGGTGATCCTCTGCAATGGGTATCCGTAGGTGTGTCAGGCCAAGTCGCTTCGGCACCTCGACATACTTCGCGGGTTGCAGAAACGAAGCCGCTCTAGTTAAAGCTAGGCTCTTGTCTCCTGCTTGTCTCTTGCCTCTTTGCAACTCAAATTCTATTCGGTAAACACCAGGGTCGGGGTATACTCCGTCGACTTTCTGAGAGGTTGAAAAGACTGAGCGGATCCTCTCTAGTCGGCGGGGATAAGGCAAGGGAAGGGGCGTGAAAAGTCTTTCTTGACACCATTTCCAGTCCTGCGCATCGTGCGCGCTGGATGATTCCTGGGAGCCTTGGGCCGCACCAAGGTAGGTCCTCCTGGTACTACAACCTATGCATGGGTCTCCGCGCCCGGATTCCTACGGACTGTAGAGCGACCTACTGGCCATTAGACCTGCCTGGGTCATGCCCTCAACCGCAGACGGAACCGTCGTAGCCACGGGTGAGCCACGGGTGGTAACTTGAAGCCCCGTGAACCCGGCTGCTCACCTTTCACAGATGTATCATCGAAGGCAACTCTTCAGGTGAGCTTGGCGCCCTGTTCAGCAAGGGAACCTCTCCATTGTTTGCTGTTTGCTTCGTCTTCGCCTACTTGCCGAAGATTATGGAGCTTCTGCTTTCAGGGGTGGGCGAGTTTACCCAGAAGTTAATCAGAGACCATTGCTGGCGAGGCCAGAAGAGACGACGGGCATGTTACCGGTTGTGGACATTACGAAGTCGGTGCTCCGGTAGCCCAACCTTCGTCCCAAGGATAATACCAACCCAGTGTCGTTCTGTCCATTCGCCGAGCCGTGGGCACTAATATGCCGCCGCTCACTGCACATGTAACGTCAGCTGGACATTCTGGAAAGAAGGCAGAAGACGCCAAGTCGGCTCTCTTCTGTTGTCTCGATGGCGGCCCCGCGTCTCTGTCCGACTGCGCCCAACGCTCCTGTATCCCAAGCACTCAGGTTTCCACACGCACCTAGCACCGAAGTCGGGGACCCGTGAGTTGAAACTTGAACGGGGCCAGAGAGAGGAGTCCAGTCAAAGCTGAGTTATCCCTGATAGTTGTCCACTGAAACGCCAGGAACGCTCTTTATCACTTTCAGAGAGCCACAACACTAGGCGATGTCATTGTGACATCCCGACTAGCGTTGTCGAACCTTCGGGCACGCTTTCGGGTAAAGCCGTCTGCATCCCGTCTTCATGACCACTTGGCTAGGGAATTTTGAGCTCAGCAGAGCGTCTGCCGACATTCGCGACCCATTCGTACAGGGGCGATCCGCGAATTCTTTTTTGTCGGCAACTTTGAGGTATTCGAGTCTACCGCGTCAGCCTGAGAATCTGCAGGAAGCCCCGGAGTATGTGGCCAAACCATACAACACGCACGTTGCCCACTTGCTCGAAAACAAAAGAGCTCGGCATCCAGGCGACGTTCAACAAGAGGGGTTGAGGCGCTGTCGACGAATCAACGCCGAGATATAAATGAAATCCGAATGGGAATAGTGTCATCGCGCCCGTTTCCCCCATGCTCCTGTTCGCCAGATGTCCCAGCAGACAAGTCCTACTTGCTCCTACATCCTCATCAGGAGGAATGAGCAGGAGCCTGCCTATAGGCATGCTAGCCAAGGTGTCGAGACCATATCTGCATGATGCTATGTGTCGTAGATCACAGTTTCTTTTCCCAACTCAGAAAAGACTGCATTCTTATCTTGCGGGGGCGTCACCCTGCCGTCAAGTTAATGACTTACGCCATGCCGCTCTGGCGCCACCGCTAGGATAGCTTGCTTGATGCAGCTACGCGCACATTGGGACCGCCACAGCTTCGAGCGAACGGATCAAGGTGCCATTCAACGACAGAGCGTTCCATTCTGTCCCCAGGCCAGCCAAGACATTGGTGATAGCTCATACTTCCCTCCGTCGTCGATGGGTAGTTCCGGTGGCCAGTGTGGCAGTGACACAGCAATAGCCCGTGTGGGGAAGCTGCCAGCTACCAAGGCTCTATCCCGAGATGTGTCATGGGAATTGCGCGATGGCTTCGGCTTTCCTCATGTAGTCGTTCTTATCAGCACTTCCTGGGAGGGTTCCTCGAAAGCTTCTTAGTAGATGACGAGCTGTCGAGGCGCCCCGCGAACTGTCCCGGCCATCCGCCCCGTAGCTCAAAGACAAAAACGCCTCGGCCGATCCGCCATGGCGGGCTGGGCAGACATTCTTCTCTCTGTCAATGCTGGTCCGGCACACCTGGAACGGGTGAATCGTAAATTCAGGGGCCGTCTATGAGTTTCCACGGCGGCTCAAAGCAACTCAGGACGGGTCTGGCTTTAGACTCCCCGGAACTTAGTTCCCGTTCAGAGGCTACGTTACCGAGAAGAACCCGGGCGTCTATCATGGAAACGCTTTTGAGGACATTTGAAAGCGGAGTCCAGGCTTCATGATGCTTTGCGCAGTACCCGAGGTGAGTCGTCCCACCCGACTTGCTAGAGATACCCAAAGTATCCTTCGAGGCAGTTCACATCCACACGCATACCTTCAACGGGCTCTGTCCCACTGTTTCCCGCCAGACTATCATGAGGATCCGCTGTTCCATGTGTAGCGACGTGGTCGTCTCGTACGAGGATCATCGTGTTGAACCCAGGTACAGATACGCGATGGAGATTGTCGAACCGGTTTGCGCAGCTGACTACCTGGTATGTTGATTGGGACTCGTCTCTGATGAATGATCCAGTAAGCTCCCCTAGCCATGAACAGACGTCGTTTGGTCGGCCTCATCTTGTTCCCGTGCCAATTCGAATTACGGAAAACATAATCGAGGTTACCGTCGGTGAAACACGGAGCTGTACAAGCCAACTCTATAGGCGAGCTGATTTATTAAGGCAACAGAGGCCAGGAAACTTGTATCGGCCATAACTTGTTCTCAAATATCCTGATTGCTTACGTTCGCTCTCGATCCCAAGTTTATGGTGCATACGTTTGCGTGCTCCAAACCTTGAATGAGGGGAAGTAGGGCGGCGTTGCCTTGTCTGATACAACGTGGCGCGTGGTTTTCTTGCGAAGGATCCTCGACGGCTCGACTCTTTCGGGACGACTCTGCATTAGCTGAATAACCGGGATGGTCAGCGAGACTGAAAAGGCCGGCATGCAGCTGCTGTGGTGCCATGGAGAAGATAGTACATTAGTCTCTGCATATGCCGCCGGTACCCCTCCGCCCGTCACTCCGCATCGTCCTGGTACCGTACCGCAGCATACCATCCAAATCTGCGGTTATTCGGGACGGCGTCCAGTGGCTGAGTTTTGATGGGATATAGTTCAGAAAGGACCCCTAGAATGACCGCGTGAATGTTGTTGAAGGTTGGTTTAGTGCTTGGTAAGACGGCTTTGTTGTACACCTTGGCCCGCGTCTTTGGTGGTGCCAACGGCTTCACATCCGTCCCTCCCCGCCTGTCAGGTCGCGGGCTCCTGCAGATCACGATGTCCGTCACTGCACCCCTTTGAGCCTCATGGGCGTCCTGGATGCGTCTCATGTCGCACGAGCTTCCGGGGTCCGTTCTGGACGATACCCTGCAGCAAGCCGAAAATTGAGATCCAGCGGCCAGGATCCTTTCGAGCTCGCCTATATGGAAGTATTCTGTCTGACTTTGACTTGAGAGGCATACTTGGCGTATCCACCCAGAAGGTTGAGGGGCCAGCACGTCGCCGAGGAGGGGATAGGACTACCCTCCACCGGGAAACCCGGGTAGCGAAAGTTGTTAACTGACATTGCAACTCTGCTGTCATT